AAAAAAAAAAAAAAAAAAAAAAAAAAAAAAAAAAAAAACATTTAAAAAAAAAAAGACGAGAGAAAAGAGAACGATCGCTCCTGCTACAAGATAAACACTGGGTCACATCGGAAAACATAACTTGGCTCACGTTTACAAGCAGAGCACACGGAGGCCCAGACCAGGCCTGGGGCAGGCGCTCTCCCACGGAGCACCTCCAAACCATGTTCGCTCGCCGCCCCTCGTCAAGTTCTCGGGCTGCAGACCGACTGTCTCTGGGTTCCTGACCCGCGCGCCCACTCGTGCCCTACATACAGTTAGTTGGTCCAAGGTTAAGAAAAACTCAAGTTTTTACGTTACAAGTTAGAGTAAAAACTGAAAAGCCATTGACACTTAACTCAGTATACATATTCGCTGAGCAACCTTTAACATAACTTATTTACTCGTGTCAAATTACGCATACTCCTTAGCAATTTATGTAAATGTAGTACCGATATACTCAAGAATTTAAAAATTCATTCAACTGTTACTTTTCCAGGAAAATTAAAACATCCAGAAAGTTTTTAGTGAACTTTTAACTTTCACGAGAGGGGCCGCAATGAGACAGCACCTGCGTCCTCTGCCGAGTCCATGGCAACGTGGCACCCAACAAAACCGTGGCATGACCTGCGGGCCATCAGCCATGCTGAGGCCTTCAGTTCCTTCTTCACCCTCTGGCGTCTGGCATCGGCTGTGAGGACGTGCTTGAGGCTCTGGACCCCCCACCACAGCCCAGAGAGGTGTCCCCACACAAATGCCTCCGTGGTGACTGGCTCATCACATGGGTCTTGTTCCACATCACTCATGACTGGAACTGTGGCTGAAGGGGACGGAAGAACGTGACCAGATGGCACATAACTGTAGGGGTGCCAAGGGCCTTGGCGGTGAAGTCAGGTGCTCATGGGACGAGGAGCCCCATCCCTCGGGATGGTGTCTGGCAAGCCAGGGGCCCCGGAGCCTCCCTGCCATCTCAGGACCTGTCCTGCAGGGCACACCTGCCACCAGATTCAGGGAGCTGCATGTCCAGCATGCCCTATGGTCTGGCCCAGGAAAAATGGACTGTCCCCCCAAGTGACTGCAGGGGGCGTGGCTCTGACCCCCAGCCTGGCTGCTGACCGAGTCCCCGCTGCACAGGGGCCGAGATGCTGGCCCCAGTGTCCCATGGGAGGGAGCCCAGGCAGCCAGGGAGCCGGGCGTGCCGTGTGTCTCAGCGAGCTCCTCTGCCTGGCACCCAACCGCAGGGCGTGACGGCAGGTGGGCCGGCTGGACAAGGGTGGTGGTGTGTGGTGGCACAGGGGCGGAGAAGTAGATTCTGTGTGCTCTGAAGACACAGTGGCAGGACTACCCAAGGGGACAGAGGGGAGGGGAGGTCATCCCAATGTTCCAGCCTTGAGTGCCGTGCAGGGCGGAGCCACTTCCAGATGGGATTGTAGGGAAGGGGTTGCAGGGGAGGGTGTGACGGAAGCAGAGGCTTCCTGGCACTGTCTGGAACATTCCAGAGAGAAGGCAAGGAACGCAGGACACACAGATCGGAGTTTAGGAAGGAGACCTAAGAGGAGACAGGGAGCCACTGTGGTGTTGGGGACCCAAAGCAAGGTCCCCAAGGGAGTGAGGACACACAGAAAAGAGGAGGAGGGGCGCCTGGGTGGCTCAGCCGGTTCAGCATCCGACTCTTGATTTTAGCTCAGGTCATGATCTCGTGGTTCAAGGTTCAAGCCTCACATCAGGCTCTGTGCTGACAGTGCGGAGCCAACTTGGAATTCTCTCTGTCCCTTCACTTTCCCCTCTCCCAAAATAAATAAATAAACCTTTAAAAACAATTTAAAAATAAGAAAAGAGGAGGTAGAAGGAAATTCCAGGCGGAGACAATGGCCTCTGCGCAGGGGGAGGCTGCTGTCACTGGCTCACAGGCGATGGCCGTTTCCGGAGGGCCTGAGAACCCACCCGGGGAGCCACTGCACGCCTGAGCCGCACTGCTGCTGCGCCCCTGCTCAGAGCACCCCGTGCCAGTCCCCCAAAGCTCGGGTGGCCTCCAGGGGCCTCCTGCCCTCAGCTCATGCAGCTGCCTTCCCGGGGTCCACAGTCCTGCACAAGCAGCGTGCCTGGCCCCCCGTGGTCCCGCGGCGTCAGGACAGAGCGGTGAGAGGCGTGGAGGACAGTAAACGGTGCACATGAAAGGGCACAGACGGCCGTGGGGAAAAGCTGGGTTCCTCAAGAAATGGAAACGAATTCACAGGAAGCCAGCAGCTCACACGTTCAGGAACTTCCACAGGCTGGGCCATGTTCAAGGCGCAGAGATGCCAGGCAACTGGCCGGCAATCAGAGAGCCGAGTGTCGCTCGGGGAAGGGACTGAGACCTCCAGGCCACAGCGCCGACCCAGGAAATGGCTGGGGGTGGGGCACGGGGCGATGCCAGGGGAAGGATGGTGCGTGCGGACTCGGGCGACAGTCAGGCCAGAGCCCTGCACAGGCAGGAGGAGGGGCGCTTCAGACAGTACCTGGGAGAGCCTGCCGCCGGAGGGAATCCTCAAAGACGGGCGGGATGGCAAAGCAAAGTGGCCCAAAGGTCTGAGGAACAGGAAGAGGAGGCAGCGGCAGCACATGTGACAGAACCGCACCCCAGGTGGGGAGATGCCCCTTGGGGCCACATCCTGATCAGGAGACAGGTGCATGTAACGACTGACCTCAGACCCGGGCAAGTCAGGGTTCTACGATAACCACAAAGGGAGTAAAAATACATGTCCTTCCAGGCCAAAAGAGAGGAAAAATTTTAATTTAAAAAACTGTATTTAACCAACCCAAAAGGAGAGAAAAAGAAACAAAACTGGACAGGCGTAAGTGCAAAGGAAAACATCTGAGAGAAACGTGTGCGTACAACTACGTGAAAGTATTTAATGTGTTCCTCTTAAAATACAAAGACACTCTTTAGATTTGACTCTCAAAACCTATTCACTGTTGATGATAAACCAATGTTGAGCATAAATGTGCAGGAAGATGTCAAGTCAAAAAATGAAAAGCAAAACCAAAATCCCGTAAGGCAAACACTCCCGCGCTAGCATCAGACCAAGTACGAAAGGCTCTGTGCAGCCAGGAAGGTCACCGCGCCCCAGCAAGATGTGATCTGCACCGACCCGGGGCCAGGGCAGCAGCCGCAGGACCCGGGCCAGCGGGGAGGGGCTGGCAGGGCGAGGTCGGTCCACCGGAGCAGGAGAGGGCAGGTCACAGCCGACGGCATGAGCGCGAGGCCCTCGAATGGCCATGGCACGCGCGGAGAGAAACACCGAGCAAAAGCCTAAAGAGAAAACCACTCTTCCCTGCGAATCCCAGAAGTTCCAGAGAAAGAATGGAGCCTTGTATTTACATATCCACATATTTTCACTTACGTGTAAGTGAGAATGTTCTTATTACGTTACCTTCCAGAAACAATCATTATCAGTAAGGCTGATGAGGACCTGGAGGGTGTCAGGTCACCGGCGCGTCACCCAGCAGACCCGCTTGGATCAGGAGGGAAAAGGCGCAATGAAGGGGAGGGCCGTGCGCTCGGCCCAAACCTGCTCACTGATCAGCCCCTCTAGAAGGACGACCAGGGGTCGTCCTCAGCCAGGGCCCCATCAGCCTGAACTCCGTGGGGTCCACCCACACATCCACGAGCGAGCCCAGAAAAGCTTATGCTGCCTGACTGAGCCTTGATCCCCATCCCCCCATCCCTGTCCCCATGAGCTGACGGCACCACTGAGTGAACCCCCCTGAGTTCTGACAAGGCAGGGGGCCCATCAGGGGCTTCTGAAAAGTCTGAAAAGTGAACTAGATGGAAACCCTGGACAGAAAACGGTCCTCGTTACAAGAATACTAGCATTGTTAACAGCGGGGCAAACAGCGCGGGTCAGGGGCATCGCTCAGCGGAGGCTCCAGGAAGAAACTAGCCTGGAGAGATGAACGCCAAAGACCCCTCTCAGCCCCGCAGAAGGGACAAGGCAGAGCAGGAGCCCCCCGCTGCAGCTAACCCTGCACTGTCCCGGCCCCGCCCCACCCCTCGGGCTTCCCTGAGCAAGGACACAGGAGCCCCACCCCCCAGGCAGACTCCCCAGGGACTTCAGGTTCTCGAGGACTCTGTGGGAGGCGGTGGTGGGACTTCAGCGTACACCCTGAGCATGTGGCCAGGCTCGGGCGCCCTGGAGCACCGGTGCGGTGTGCAGGGATGGCGCCCACTGGCACAGGGCTAACGCTCAGGACCCAGGCCCCCAGCACTGCCGAACGCCAGCTTCGCCACCACCAGCTGGGATGGCAGCTTCCTTCTGTTCATGGCCCAGCACCTGCGCGTTCCTCCACAGACCCGGCACCCACAGGGAGTGGGGCTCGATCAGGTCAGCGCCCCCCAGCCACAGGAGGAGGACCCCCAGACTCTTAACAACTGCGCGCGGCCCTTGCAAGCAGGGCCAGGTGCCAGGCACACCAGCTGTGCACAGAGACTGGCACTGTAGCAACCGGAGGAAACTCGAGCACCAGACCCCTCTGCTGCCCACAGGACTTTTGTCTGGAAGAGCACCTTGGCGGTGCTGCTGCCCTCACTGGCGCAGACGCCCACCCTCTCTCCCTCCAGGCCTGCCTGCTTTCCAGCCCCAGGCCCTCGGGTGTCAGGGCAGGTGGCAGCTCCCACAAGAACCCTACCCAACTCGGCCCCAGCTGGGACAGACCCACAGCCCTGAGCGCGTGGCTCGTCTGAGCGCCTATGATCCTGTGCCGGAACAGCCGGATGGTGGGACACCTGGCCTTCGCTGCACCATGCTGCCCCAAACATCGTGAGCAATGTCACCGCTGGGTGTGTCACTGGCACTCAGGCCCCAGCCCCTGATGACGCCCCCCCAGCAGCTCTGGCCCAGACCTGATGTTACTGCTCGTGGACGAGCTACGTGCAGCACCCATACGCGGATGTAGGCCACACAAGTGTCACACGTGCCAGGAAATAGCATACACACGGAAAGTGAGAGCAGGAGCCCTGGGAGGGCAGAGACCCCACACGTGTGAGCGCTGACGCTCCTACTCGCTCACTGCGGGGCGTACGGGGCTTCTGCTGCGCGCCGTCACAGAGCTGAGGGCTCCCTCGGCACCAGGATGAGCTCACCTTCCCGGAGTGCTCCCTCGGCACCAGACACCGAGCCCAGCTCCGCATGTGTTTACTGAGCCTCACGCCACCACCAAAGTTCCGCACAAGTCGCCAGGAGGCAACGGAGCCCCCAGGAGGCTGAGCACACACGACAGGCCACAACAGGGCTCTCCGGCAGGACCGTTCAGCCCACTGCTCCTGGGCGGGGGCGGGGGAAGACAGAGAGGAGCCGCTGATCCGGTTCCCTTGCTTCTCTGATCAGCCAGTTGCATAAAATGGGACACTGCTGGCCGTGAGCCCGCTGTAAGCCACTGTGAGGCCGGAGACATGGACACACGGCAAGGAGGAGTCCAGAACCCCCCACTGACTCAGGACGCTGGGGTCTGATAACAAGAGGGCGTCAGCTCCAAGTCGAAGCTCTCAGAAGGGGCATCTGGACTTCAAGCCGGCTTCTAACAAAACATGGTTTTCCTTTCAAACTGGGGAACATCGTTCTGAAAAGATCCTCCCCTCATCTGCACAAACGGGATCCATCCACGTCCTGCCTTAATCATGAGAAGCCTGCTGAGTGGGCGCCTGCACGCAGGAGCGGACTTCGAGTGGAAGTACGTGCAGGTATCACGCCAGAGGAACCTTCTTCCTACTCAAAAGGGCCAGCACGGTCATCTGCTGTCCATGTTGATAGAAACCTCCCGGTTTGTGACAACCCGCCCCAACGCGGTCTGAACGAGCAGCTGGGAGGCCACCTCCCCCTGGAGCCATCCAGAGCCAGTCTACACTTGCTCACCGGCAACAGCACAGCGAGCTTTGGGGACCAGACGGGAGCCCTCAGAAGGAGAACTGGGAAAGGCCCTCCCAGGTCCTCGGTCCCCAACCTCTCATTTGCAAAAGAAAAAACAGGGTTTGAAAAGTGGCCTCTGAGCCTGGAGGCAGCGGGGCCTGTGGACCTCACTCTGCCTGTGGGAAGCGCAGGAACTATCTGCGGTTCAGGAAGCCCCTCCACAGAGCCGGTCTGGGGGGGCTCCTCCACGTGACGACCATCCGAGGTGCGAGGGACCTCCTCCCCCCCGCGTGCGGGGTGGTACCCAGTGGGGGTGCGGGAGACCTTCTCCGTCAGGGGGACCCACTCAGGGTGCAAGCGGCCTCCCCCGTCCAAGGAACCCACTGAGGGTGCGAGGGGCCTCCTCCGCCCGGGGCGCGGGGCCTCTCCCGTCCCGGGCCGGCCCCGCCGCGCTGCCACCCCGCCCGGAGCCCGTCGTCGGGCCCTCCCGGAGCCTCCGGAGCCTGCCGCTCCCCGTCCCCCGCCCAGAGCCTCACCGGACCGCGCTGCGTGCTGACGGTGGTCGCCATGGTGCTACGCTGCCTCCGCCTCGCCCACCGGGAGCGGACGCGCCCGCAACCCTCGGCGCCGGAGCTTGCGACGCCGACTGCTGTCCCCGAGAGGCCGCCGCCGCCTCAGTCAGCTGACGGCCGGCCCCGCCCCCGCACCGCCTACTGCGCAGGCGCCGTGTCCGCCCCACCCCTTCCGGCGCCTCACGCACGCACGCACGCACGCACGCGCGCTCCCGGCGCGCGCCGGCGCAGTCAATCTCTCCCGGCCGCCGCCCCGCGAAACGGCTCCTGAGCTGGGCGAATGCTCCTGCCGCCAGCCGGCCGCGCCGGTCACGTGGCTGGCGGAGGCCTGGCAGGGAGCACGGTGCTGCGCCCGTGGAGCCGAGGGGCGGCCAGGGGCTGGGGCGGGTGGCCCCCGGCCTCTCCGCCTCCGAGCCTCCGAGCGGAGCGAAGGCAAAGCGACCGTGTAGCCGTGCAGTGGCCCCAAATCCTCGGGGCGGGGAAGCTCTTACACGCCGATGTGTGGGCGCGGGGAGGGGGCGGGCCGAGGGAGCGGTTGGGGCGCGGCGGGTCTCGTAGATCCTGTCGCGGGGCCCGATGTCGCGCGAGGGCCGGCCCACGGGCCGCGACGATCGCGCGGCCACTCACTACCACCGGGCGCGGCGCGGCAAGGCTACGGCCGGCGCCCTCGGGGCCACGACTGTCTCCCTCCCCCTTCCCGTGCCTCCCCAGCGCCGCTTCCCCGCTGCTCCATGCACCCGGCCTTCCCCTTGCCCCCGACCCCGTCGTTCCCTGGCTCCCCTCTCCCCATCGCCTCTTCTTCTCTGCGCCCCCGCCCCCAGCCCCTTCCCGCCCCTCCCCGCGTCCGCTACGGGGATCCGCTGCGGCGCTCTAGCCTCCTCTGGTCTCAGTACAGACGAGAAGCCCGACCATAGAATTACCCCAGCCCCCTGACCGCATCAAAACCGGAGCAGAAACCCGCTTCCTCAAACGTTCCGCATCATCACCTGCAGGAACGCAGGCCTCCGTGGTGTTCTTAGCTGTAGCCAGTAATCATCCCAACTTGCTACACTTACAACCTGGAGTGTCCTTTCCTTCTGTGCACACTCCCCGCTGTCACAAGGGGCTGGCCCACTGCATGGTCTGTGTGGTCACCACATATGCCAGACCAACTGGCAGGCAGTCGATCACCGCTGGACTACCCATCTGTGCACCCGCCGCTTGCACTCTGTCCTGTGGCTCCTCTGGTGAGAATTTGAGGAACTGGGGTGCCAGTGCATGACCCATATCCCCAGCGCTCAAGTTCCCCCTGGCAGGGATTTTATCCATGTGCTCATCAAATGGATGATCAACTCAATCCTAGAATCCCATGTTGAGAGTCTGTTTTCTAGGGCCACTTCTGGTAGCAATTACTGTATCAGTCAGGGTCCCAGCAAGAAACAGATGGCATGCTCAGAAAGATAATTGGAGGGATTTTAATAAATGAACTAATTACAAAAGAGGGGCAGAGTTAAGTGAAGGAGTGAGTCATGGTGAGGGAGCTGTAAGCAGGGAAAGAGACTTCCTTGGTGGAAGGAATGAAGCCCTCTGAACCCCAGGCCTGGGGGAGGGGGTCTGGGGAAATAAATCCTCTGAGTTCCTCAGCTCCCTCCACACTCATCTCCTGGTGCCTCCCGTTAACCCAACCTGTAGAGGTCAACTTCCTGGAGCACAAAAATCAGAGAAAGGTAGGGACTGTCCTATACATGCATCTAAATATCAGCACTAACTAGAGGATGGAGTTTTGACTTAGAAATAAAACCTTTTAAAGATTGTTAAGGAAAAGTTGTAAGACTTCATTGAGAGATATTAAAGAATACCTAAATACCTTAAGAAGTATATACCATATTGCATATGGATAGAAATGCTCAGCATCAGAGAGCTGTCAATTCTCCCTCAAATTGTAAGAGCGGCTGTGTCTACAGAGAACCTGCCCCACCCCCCTCCCCACCAGCCTTTAGCTGAGGACAGATCAGCAAACACATGGGGTAAAGCTGCCCAAGGCTGGGGAAAGAGCCACGAGCCCCACTACCAAACCCCTGGAGTCCGGACCAGTTCCTATTCCCACCAGTCAGAGCAAAAACTCACATGACTGACAGAACACCGAGTGGACCACTCAGCAGGGTCTGCCTTAACACCTCTGGGGATAAAGTTGATCGCTTTTAAATGACTAAGGGACAAACATAACCAGAGGATATAAAGATCCTATGAGTTTATACATCCAGTTATAGGGCATCAGAACACTTAGAGCAAAGCATGATGGACAGACCACAGGGAGAGCTGGGGGCCCCACACCCTCCCTCCAATGTTTCGCAGGCTGGATGGGAACTTGGTAAGAGTGCAAAGGACCCAAACAACACGGTCAAACAGCCTGATCTGATGGACATTTACAAAAAACTGCAACAATGGTAAAAACACAAATTTTTAAGTGCTCACTGAACACTTAGCAACATAGACCATATTTTAAGCCAGAAAGCAGTCTAAGATTCAAATCACACAAATGATATTCTTGGACCGAACGAGAATTAAATTAGAAATCATTAATAAAAATATATCTAGAAAATCCCCCTAAATACCTGGAAACTAAATAGCCCAGGTATCAAAGAAGAAATTAAAAGTAAGGGTAATATTTGGAACTGAGTGAAGGTGAAAAACAACACAATATGTTTTGTGGGATATGGCTAACGCGGCATATGGGGGAAACCCTGCCTACATTAGAGAAGAAAGTCTGAAATCACTGACATCAGCTTTCATCTTTAGACACGAGAAAAAGAAGAGCAAATTAAATTCTAAGAAGCAGGAAACAGGGAAAAAATAAAGTCATTAAATCAATGGCACAGAAAACAGAAAGACCGTAGAGAAAATCAAGAACAAAAGCTTTTTTTTTTTTTTAGAACACCAATAAAATTGATAAACCTCTGGGCGGACTGATAAGGGAAGAAAGAGAGAGAAGACACAAATTACCAAAACCAGGAACGAGAAAGCTGGCATCAGTACAAGTCCTACAGATACCAAAAGAATAATAAAGGGCCAAAGCAATCTTGAGAAAGAACAAAGTGGGATAAACCGCACTACAAACCTATAGTTGTCCACACAGTGTGGTGCTGGCGCAAAACCGGACACAGAGACCCGTGGAACAGAACCAAGAGCCCGGAAGTAAAACCGCACACTTATAGGGTTTCTGAACCTACGACAGGGAGGCAGTCATGCCCAACGGGGAGAGGACAGTCTGTTTAATAAAGGGGCTGGGACACCGGAGCCGCAGGCAAAAGAACGAAACTGGACCATAGTCTTACTCCGCGCCCCCCCCAAAAAAAAGTCCAAAATGGATTAAAGGCTTAAACGTAAAACCTGAAACCAAAGAATTCCTAAAAGAAAACAGAGGAAGGAACTCTTGGACGTCAGTCCCAGCAATATTTTTTCAGACACGTCTCCTTGGGCGAGGGCAACAGAAACACAATACCAGTTAGGGCCACGTCGAGCCAAGGCCCCTGCACAGCAAAGGAAAACCACCAGCAGAATGAAAAGGCAATCTACTCAATGGGAGCCGATATTTGCAAATCATATATCCCACAAGGGGTTACTGTTTAAAATATATAAAGAGTTCGTACAAGTCAACATCAAAACAAACAGTCCAACTGAAAAATGAGCAGAGGACCTGAGTAGACACTTTTGCAAGGAACACTTCCAGCAGACACATGAAAAGATGCTCAACATCACTTATCATCGGGGACACACAAATCAAAACACAGTGACGTCACCTCACACCTGTCAGAATGACGAGTATCAAAAGGACACGAAATAGGTGTTGGCGAGGATGTGGAGAAGGGGGAGCCCTGGACCCTCTTTAGACGGAGCCCTCTAAAATGGTCAAACATTAAAAAAAAATGTTTTTAAGGATGAGATCTTGCCATTTGCATCAATATGAATGCCCCCAGAGAGTACTCTGCTAAGTGAAAGAAGTCAGAGAAAGACAAACACTACATGATTCCATTTCTATGTGGAACCTAAAAGCAAAACAAATGAACTAACAAAACAGAAGGGAAATAGACTCGTAGACACAGAGCACAGTCTGATGGCTTCCACGGGTGCGGATGTAACACACGGCGCAGGAAAGACAGTAGTGTCCCAACTGTGTGTGGCGACAGGTGGTAGCTGCACTTTGCTGAGGTGACAGCATCACACACAAGTGTCAGATCCCTATGTTGTGCATCTGAAACTATTGTCTGTCAACGATGCTTCTACTTATTTTATTTATTTATTTTTAAATGTTTATATGTGAGAGAGAGAGGAAGACAGAGCGTGTACAGGGGAGGGGCAGAGAGAGAGGGAGACACAGAATCCCAAGCAGACTCCAGGCTCTGAGCTGTCAGCACAGAGCCTGACGTGGGGCTCAAACTCATGAACCGTGAGATCATGACCTGAGCCGAAATCGGACGCTTAACCGACTGAGCCCCCCAGGCGCCTCAACTATGCTTCAATTTAAAAAAAGAATAATGAGGGAATGTTGTGAATGACTTCACTTGAGTTAAATGAAAGAGAATATAATGGAAAAAATCCTTAAAAGACAAACATCATCAAAGCTCGCTAGAGAAAAAACATAACACAAGCAGTTCTTATTTTAAATTATTTTTTTAAATGTTTTATTTATTTCTGAGAGAGAGAGTGTGTGTGTGTGAGCAGGGGAGGGTCAGAGAGAGAGGGAGACACAGAATCTGAAACAGGCTCCAGGCTCTGAGCTGTCAGCACAGAGCCCGACGCGGGGCTCNAGCAGGGGAGGGTCAGAGAGAGAGGGAGACACAGAATCTGAAACAGGCTCCAGGCTCTGAGCTGTCAGCACAGAGCCCGACGCGGGGCTCGAACCCACGAGCCGCGAGATCACAACCTGAGCCGAAGTTGGACGCTTGACCAACTGACCACCCAACACAAGCAGTTCTTTATTAAAGAAGTTAAAAGCCTTTCCATGAAGAAAATTCCAGACCGAAATGGCTTCACCGGTGAATTCTACGAACATCTGAGAAAGGAATAATCTCAATGCCACACAAACTCCTCCAAGAAACAGAGGAGGAAACGCTGCCCGGCTGAT